TGAGAGACACAGAGAGAGAGAGGCAGAGGGAGAAGCAGGCTCCCAAGGAGCAGGGAGCCCGATGCGGGACTCGATCCCAGGACCCTGGGATCATGCCCTGAGCCGAAGGCAGACGCTTAAGCATCTGAGCCACCCAGGCATCCTCAAGTAAAATTTTTTAAAAAATAGTTCAGTCAGTAGGTACTGATTTCCAATATAATATCTAATACACAAATTGTGTGATAGATTAATCTCACTGGCGTAGATTTGCTTTAAGCCTTGGTGGTTTTTTTCATTCTGATAGGCAGCTCATCAACTAAAGAAAGGATCAAGGTTTCCTCCTGTAACATTCTCCTCAAGTAATTGTTTTTGTTTTCCAAGACTAGTATAATGGCTACTATCAACTGTAAGAGGGCTTGTGGATTTCTGATTTAAGTAAGAAGAGCTCAGGTTACTTAAGTTTCCATAGTCTAGGGGCTAGGAAACTTTTTCTGTAAAGGGTCAAATAATAAATATTTTTGACTCTGTGGGCCATGTGGTTTCTGTAGTAACTACTTAAAACTCTTTCCTATTACTCACCTCTGCCATTATGGTGCAAAAACCACCATAGACAATATGTCTATGAATAGGCAGGACTGCTTTTCATTAACACTTTATTTACAAAAACAGGTACCTGGGGGCACCTGGGTGGCTCAGTCTGTTAAGCATCCGACTCTTGATCTCAGCTCAGGTCTTGATCTCAGGATTGTGAGATCAAGGACTGCACATTGGGTGTGGAGCCTACGTTTAAAAAATAAAAAAAAAATGTGAGCAAAAACAGGTACCTGGTTGGGTTTGGCCTGGAGGCTGTAGTTTGCTGACCCCTGTCCTGGACCTACAGAGACTTGAAAGCTGGTTATAATGAGTAGTTGATAATACAGATTTTCAGGCCTTACTGCAGTACTTTCTCCAGAGTTTCCCAAAGTTTTTACGTTGTTTTTGCATTCACATGTAACAAAAGTAGCAGCTAACTTTTATTAAACTCTTACCTCATACCAGACTTTTTTTTAAGAGAGATAGAGCGTGAGCACCAGGGTAGGGACAGAGGGAGAGGGAGAATCTTAAGCAGTCTCCACACCTAGCACGGAACCGGACGTGGGGCTTGATCTCACGACCCTGAGATCTTGACCTGAGTCGAAATCAAGATTCGGACCCTTAACCCGCTGAGTTACCCAGGTGCCCCAGACATTTTAATCTCTTTTAGAGTGTTTCCTCATTTATCGTCACAACAACCCTAAGAAGTAGATTGTTTTCTCCATCGTACAGACACATTGTTAAGCATTTATTTGCTAGGGAAGATGAAATTGAGGTGGAAAATGCCTCTCTTTCAAGCAATGTACAGTGAAGCACTTAGTCCATTACCTACATCCCAGTAATACTAAACAGAGTATTGGAACCTTGAAGAGTATAAAATAGTGCCTTGACAGGCCAGAAGGAGAGATTGTATCTGTTTTGGAGGGAAGGAAGAAAGATTTTATAGAAGCAATGTAACAACCTAACTTAATAATTAAAAGAACTTGAGAAAATTGTGGTTATATATTATACAGTGAGATGCTTAAATTAATCCTTTAAATTTAAGAAAAAAATCTGCCCTCAGATTTAAGACAACTCCCAAATGAGATTTCTGCTGGCATTAGCTCCAACCTAGTGCATCATGCATAAGCCAGCATCAGGCCCATCTCTGTTTAGGCCTTGACATGAGGTCGGCCTTGATAACCCTTCTCTGTCCCCTGACATAAGCACCATTAGGAGTCTGTGCCCCATCTTGTCCACGTCAGTGGTTTTGTGCTTTGTTAAAGTTTAGTGCCCGATCATAAATTATCCCTGGATACCTGTCACAGTTGTCATTTATTTTCCATGTTTTTGAAATGATAAAGACACTTGGTACATAGACTAAGATATGGAGTATACTTTCATAGTAAATGCTAATGGGAAAGGATATATTGAAGAGCTGTATGTTATTGTGTAATTAATTAACAACTTTAGATGTAGAATTAACAATCCACAACCTGTAATTGTGCCTAGGCATTTCTTCTTTGGGATGGGAGAGCATTCCTCTGATATATAAATATTAGAAAGTCCATTATGACACCTATCTGATGTTTTCTTGACTGCTGTATTAAAAAAGTAGTTACTAAACAGTGTCCTTATTATATTACATCAGTTTGCTAGAAAGAGAAGGAAGAGAATTCTTCAGCATATTTTAGGAGTTTTAAGGATAAGCTATTTACAACAGAAAGTACATTTAGAAAATTATGTGAGCAACCTTTTAATTCTATATTAGTTGAAACTTATGAAAAGTATATTTCTCCTTTATTCTCAAGCCTTAAGATCTTGAAATATTTTTAATTAAAAAAAAAACACAGGGGCGCCTGGGTGGCTCAGTTGGTTAAGCGACTGCCTTCAGCTCAGGTCATGATCCTGGAGTCCCGGGATCGAGTCCCGCATCGGGCTCCCTGCTCGGCAGGGAGTCTGCTTCTCCCTCTGACCCTCCTCCCTCTCATGCTCTCTGTCTCTCATTCTCTCTGTCTCAAATAAATAAATAAAATCTTTTAAAAAAAAAAATAAATAAAAATTAAAAAAAATTAAAAAAAACACAGAAAAATCCTTTTCACAATTTATTCTACTGTATTAGAAAACGTCATTATTTTCATAACAGTGGGCTCTCTCTTGTAGAGGCTGCCTCTAGAGAATACACATTCATAGGTCGATAACATTTTAAGAAGGTAGAATCGTGTATTCATAGAACTTGTTTAGTGTTTATTTCAGTGTGCGATTTAAGTTATAAAAATGAGCAGAGAAGGGCAATCCTCTTGTTTGTGTTGTCTCTTGTGAGAAGTATCCGATTGCTGTTTTGCAGACTGCGCTAGTCTGATGAAGAAGTGTGTGCAGTGTCGGGCAGTAGTTGAACGAAGAGTGCCTTTCATTATGTGTTGTGGAGGGAAGAGTTCCGAAGATGCCACTGATGACAGCTGTGAGTGTATTTTTTTGAGTTTTTCTGACTTCGTTTTCTCGTTGGGACTTTAAAGTGCTGAAGATCTTGTCTCATGTGTAGTAAAGCATAGGGTAAGGGTATGTGACCCGAATCTACAGAGGAACAGGTGGGGTTTGCTCTTGTTACAGGAAACTTGAAATTATATTTTTCTAGCTTGCACTAGGATTATAGAACTTGAAGCATTTGTCTTTTAAGAAACCTTCATGTGTGATATAAAGAAAATTGTTGTACTCTTGCTTAAAGAAACAGCATATTACAAATTATTTTTTCAGTTACACAAGTATCAACGCCTCATTCCTTTGTGTAGCAGGTTTCACCTAATGCATGTCAGTATTTTATAGAATAGTGTTTATTTGGGACAGAGTAACTGTAGATAATACTGAAGTATAACTCAGTGACGAAGTGGAAAGATGAAAAGTAAATGATTTACTTTCAACCTTTTTAATCCTATAGCTGTATAAAATATTTTTCATCTTCGCACTTGATATAAGCTTGGATGGTATCTTTGATTTCTTTGCTCTATGTACACATGAGGAAGAACATCAGTGTAACCATTTTTGCCCAGGGCTTTTTGTCTTTATCACCAGTAGAGTAGAATAAAAATCCCAGGGACAAATAAACTAGAGCTAAAAGAGTAAAAATCTAGAGAGTAGTAAAAGTTGACATAAAAAATTTCCCTCTGTTTAGCAGACCCAGTGATCACAGCTTTTTGTTCATGGAGTTCCTCATCTCGGAACAGTAACAAGGAGGGTTGGGCAGAGAGGAAGGAGCCTAGGTTTTTGTGTTTTCTCATAAACATCATCTAAGAGACTTTATAATTATTGCTGCCAAAACTGGCTAAAAAGTGCTGTGCTGCCTACCTTCTTGGGTTTGTACAATGCGGGAGCAGAGAAAACAAGCATAAAATGTATTTGTGAGCTTGCCAAAGGAAGCAAGTAGTACCTCGGAAGACCCAAAAGTCTGTGTGTAGATTGTTGTCTAGCTGAGTTAAATATAATTAGAAAATAATGTGCAAACCTGTTTCTTTCTGAAGATTATAAATGAAGGCGTGTAATATGAAGGTCACTGTTATGTCTGTTGGCCATGAATGAGAAAAACTTTTAAACAGGATTCTAGTAGTAGTCTTGTGTTTTTAATAAAGCCGTAGTAATTTTAGAAATAAAAATCATTATTATGCCAAAACAATCATAACATTAAAATATTTTATTTACATTATAGCAAGTGGAAATATTCCAGTGTTACAAAAGGACAAGGATAATACCAATGTCAATGCAGATGTGCAAAAGTTGCAACAGCAGTTACAGGACATTAAAGAGCAGGTAATAATGATTTCTTCTTGGTAAATGATGATTCTAAGAATGGCATTTAATATTTTTCTATAAGACTACTAGTGTTTTATGTAGTAATCGTGGTTCATATTAGGGTATCAATTGTAGTATTTGAATATTTGCAAAAAGTAATACGATTCAAAGATCTAATCAGGCACTTTCCAAAATAAACACACGGATGACCAATAAACATGAAAAATGCTCAACCAGATTAGTAATCATGAAATGAAAATTAGGGTGCCTGGCTGGCTCAGTCAGTAGAGCATGTGATTCTTGATCTTGGGGTTGTGAGTTTGGGCCTCGCTTTGGGCATAGCACTTACGTTAAAAAAAGAAGAAATGAAAATTAAAACTACAGTTTGGTGCCTTTTCCCACCTACCTGACTGCATGGAAAACTCAGTGTTAGAATATGTAGCAGCCATAACCCACATACTACTGATGGGAATATAAATTAGTAAAAATACCTTGGAAAAGTTTGTCGTCACAATCATATAACTAAACAGGATATTGTTTGGTGATGCAAACTAGGAAAAAATTGTACAGATGTTGTTTAAAACCAGGGGTAGTGGTTTTCTTGGCTGGGATGACCGGAAGGGAGCACAAGGGACAGGGAAATATATAAAGTGCCGATTACATACATCTGATCAGTTTGTGAACTTTTATCAAACTGTACATTTATGATTTGTACACATTTCTGTCTAGATGTGATATTTAGGTAGAAAGTAGAATATATGTTCTCTCTCACTCCCTCATACACACGCACACCATAAAGAAAAGCAAAAGAAAGAAAAATGCAATATTTAGAATAGTAGGTATCAGTGAGAGGTAGATGGAAAGGATTTGGGAGGATGTATGGAGCGGCTTCAAAAGAAAGGGTAGCATTCCAGCCTTTAAACTTGTTCTTCATATCTTATACATGCCAACAGAAGTACTCTTTTATCTACTCAATATTTAATAGCAGCAACAGTAAAATAAAGAAGTTAGTTAAAACTTGTTACATATATGGTAAGTAAGAAAGTCTGTCCGCCACCCCCCCCCCTTTATCATTTGACCCAGCAGTTAAATTGGATCCAAAGGATTGAGAAACAGAGGGTGTTATTTCTTTAGTTTGGGTATCACATCAGTGTTGCCATGCAGTTGTTAATCATCACTCTTGTCTTTTCTGTTGATTTTATAAGAAAGTAACATAGTCAATAAATAATGAGTCAGGGTAACTGATGACCTTTGTGATATAGTAATATGGTAGCTACAGTAATTTAGAATTAAACATATATATTTACTAGGAATTTAAACACCCATCTGAAAAGATGAAAACTCTATGACTAAGCTAGTTTTTCTTTTGAAATCTTGCACCTAGTAACACTTACTGTATAGTGAATAGGTAAAGATAAACATGGATTTGCCAGTTCTTATGTAGGAACATAAAAATAGGAACATATTTAGCTCATTCTAATATAAAATAGAACATTTCAAAAATCTTGAAGCTCCTTAGAATCTCATTTCCTTTCCTATAAGACACTTCTAGAAAGGTAAACTGATTTTTGAATACATCTTCTCTGAAAAGCATTTCATCTCCTAATGGTGAATTAAAATTGTTCTTAAAATGAATAATGGCACTTTTTGAGCCCTATTATGTATCCTTAAAAATTCAGCTTTACCTTTATCCAAGTTTAGCACTCCAAAGAAGTTTCTTCTCCCTTAAATAATCTTCATGACCATATTGCATCACTAAAATATTTAAACAGTTACAGTAAAATTCATTTTCTGAGGATTGATGGATGGGATTTCTTGCAGGGACCCCTTCAAGGTTACCAAGACAAAGTAGCTGAATAACCCTTTTAAAATTTTATTTTATTTCTTTAAGGATTTTATTTATTTATTTGTCAGAGAGAGAGAGAGAGCACAAGCAGGGGAAGCAGCAGGCAGAGCGAGAAACAGGCTCCCCAATGAGCAGGGAGCCCGATGTGGGACTCGATCCCAGGACCCTGGGATCATAACCCGTGCCGAAGGCAGACACTTAACCAACTGAGCCACCCAGGTGCCCCTCCTTTTTAAATTTTAAATCTCCAGTCTTTCTTTTACCCCAATGTAATTTCATGTGGTGTTAAGATACATTAATCTCAAAGTAATTTAACCTAGGCTGTGCAGATGTGTTTACTTTTGGAAATAAGAGTTATTAATTGACTGCATATAACTCTTGAAAATTTAAGGGAAAAGAAACTATTTTAATGGCACTAAAAGGCTGGTTTGGCTTTTTAAAATAAAAAAAATATAATTTTCTACAACTTTGTTTCTCAAACTTTAAGATAGATAAATGTGAAAATTTTCTTCAGGAGGCTGTGGTTAACAATTTAGATTACAATTCCTTCCCCCTCCCTACCACAGTGATCTCTGGTATTGTCAAAGTTGGTAACTACATTTTCATATAGGCCTTAGGCCTAGTTTATTAATCTAGACATTCTTTTTTAGTTATTTCATTTCTGTGTAATTTGGGAAAAGATACAATTCAGAATGAAGCATTGTGATATATTAAGGTAAAATATATTTTTATAAATATAAAGTGTAAAATGTATTCTTGTGAATGAATGAATATCTGCTTTCCTAGAGGGTTTTCACAAAAGTATACCTAACATACTTCTAAATTTTTCTGAGTTCATGAAGTTACATTTATTAATATGTAACTAACGCTAATTGTTTTTAACCTAAGGGGATTCTACATTGATAGTAATCCAGTGAAGCATGTTTCAGAGCAAGAGCTCTGGGCCACAGAACCCCAGTTCACATTGTGGCCTGCTGTGGGGAAGTGTTTAGCGCCATGAAGCCTCAGTTTCCTCGTTTTTAAAGTGGGAGTGATAATAGGGCTGAGATTGTATCCTAGCGTGTGGCGTGTATTTTTAGGGACATCTCTATGCTGCTTCCCCTCTCCCATTGGCCTGATAGATTGTCATGTTTTCTTACAAGATCAGCATAGTACCCAGAGTTGGGGAATCTGACTCAGACTGAATGCAGCTATTTTTATCCATTTCCTGTTAGATTTTGGCATTTGCATTTTTTGTTTTATATAGTATTTATTTTAGGTTGTGCGTTTGATACAGTCCTGACAGTACAACCAATATTTCTATTTTATAGGGATGACATTTTAACTGTTCAAAATTTTTAAAATTAAAAAATTTTTTTTTTAATTTTAGAGCAACAAAAGATTGAAACAACAAAAGAAAATGATGTTACAAAGTTGTTACATGTTACAGTTTCAAAATGTAAAATGTCTCAGCATTTACTACTCTGTTATCTCACATTCCAGACCATGTGCCCTGTGTGTTTGGACCGACTGAAGAATATGATTTTCCTCTGTGGCCATGGAACGTGCCAGCTCTGTGGAGACCGAATGAGTGAATGTCCTATTTGTCGCAAGGCTATTGAACGAAGGATTCTTTTGTATTAATTAAGAAGCTCTGTGTTTTCTTAGCTGAAGTATTTGGTCATGAGCTCTTAGTAATCTTAATCTGTTAAGCCAGGTGGAGGTTCTAATGAATTAATTTGTAATATCATAGTTTCTTTCCTAGAGTGTAATTAGACTGTAAATGTGCCAGAACAAAAAACCTCTACAAGACAGTGTTTGAAGTTGTGTTTTTTGTTTTTGTTTCTTTTAATTTGAAACATCAAATCCATGTAATTCATAGGTAATTTACTTGTCACTTCTAAGGGAAAATCCTTTAAGGATCTGTTATTTTTGTTTTTATTGCATCTTTTCTTATTGTTTATAAATTTGTTAGACCTCGAGAAATGTAGTTCCTACGATCAGCTATCCTTCAGTTTATCATGATTTTACACAGTGGGTTGACACAGGTACTCAGAATAGTCATGCATCAAGTGAACGGGACAAGTCAAACCATTAGGTCACATGTGTTAAATGACAAAATTATAATACAAGCTTTACATAGTTAATACTGAAGAGAGGATTATCTTTTTAAGATAAAAAGTTATGCAAACGATTGATTCTGAATTCTTAGAGTAAATGGAAGCATGGAATGAGAGAGCAGTGACTTTGCATTTAGCTTAATTTCTAGATTTAAAAGGAAGATTGTTTAACTTGAATCAAATTTCTAGTTTCATGATGATTGACATGAAAAGGAAAAACAAGCAGTCATAGTGGGGAACTGAAGTGGGGGAAGTGGCCAATAAATGAGTACCTATTAACTGACCATTAACAGTTGCCTTTCATATATACTAATCTATACACTGTTCTGTTTACCAGCCTTTAAAAAAAAAAAAATCTGAAAAGTGTACCTCAGTTTTCCCTGTGGTTACTTATCCAGGCTTGATCTGACCAGTGAGATAATGTTGCCCTTTTTGGGCTTCTGAGGTTCCATGTAGCTTTTCTCGTGTACTGAATAGTACCCCAGTAATCTGAGGAGGATAACGCATTGTCCCAAGGCAGCAATCTTTTCCTTGTCCGTATCTTTTTAATTCTGACAGTGATACTGGTTCTATCTTCATCATAAGCCCTACTTCCATTTTCTTTCAGTTGCTAAGGCTTGCTGTAAAGAAAGCACTCTCTTTATACCTACAGGTGAAGATATTATTTAAATTGCCAGCAGTATCCAAGACATAGTAAGTAACCTAATAATAAATACTTTAGAAAGAGTGACCAGGACATTTACAGAAATATGTCTAATTACCTGTAGTTTTTTTTTTTGTTTTTTTCACTCTGATTCTAGAGCATCTGATAATTTTCCCTCCTTTGAATGAGTAGTCTTACTCTGTCTAGGATGAATCTACATATACATAAGTGTTTTGGGGTCCTTGCTGCTAGGTTATAAAAATACTGGCTGTTTACAGTGGTGTCTACTATATACTGTCCATAAGCTTCTTCCTAAGGGTGTAGTTATCTGGTAGTTCTTTTCCTTTCTTTAATTCTGGTTCTTCTTTCTTTTTGTTTGTTTTTTGGGGTTTTTTTTTTTAGGGTTTTTTTGTTGTTGTTATGACAACTAAATTTAAGAATATTCCTGGCAATTTAATGGCTGCTGCCTTTGCAAGTCCTGGTGAAAACAGTGGTGAGCTTTGCTGGCTGATTTTGTAGTGTCGGTAATTCCATATCTGTGTTTAGCTGAAAAACTTAGGATTTAGAACAGTAAAATTTTTATAAATTTTAAATTTGAAAATTTATATAGATTCAGTTATCTAATAAAGGGCCACTGAGGCTATTTTTTAAGCCATATTTTAAAGTTATAGAGAGAACATCTGACATGATGTTCACTTAAAGAAATAGATTATTTTCTTTCAGATTTGAAAATAGTGAAAGTCAGGATTTTTTTTCTTCCATGCCATAGGCTGCCCATCTCTTTTCCACTAGATCAGCTGGAGAGGAGGAAACACCTGGCTGACTTGTGCATGGTTTGGCCACCCAGTGAATTCTGTAGTCTAGAGCTCTGCTTTACTTAAATCCTTTTTGTCTTTGGAGCTTGCAGTGCTTAAACTTACATCCCTAAAAGGCAGTTTCATTTTCCAGACTAGTTCATTTCTTCTACATTAAAAATACAATAAACAAACTGTTACAAAAAGTCATTAAGGTCACTATGATTATAATGCTGTATACTTGTGGGTTTTTCTATATTTGTACCACTTTGAAATCTGTTTAATGAATAGAAGGTGTTTCTCTATTCATTGTTTTCAAGCATCTGATAAATTATTTTAAATTTGTTTTGTGTTTGTGAGCAAGAGTAAGATTAAGAACTGAGTTGTTTAAGTGACTTCCTTCTAATTCTGTGAAATTGCTACCTCTTAATGTCTCTCAGCAGCACTTTCCCAGTTAGATATGTTTCCTTCTCATCAGCTCATCATCATGTGCCTCAGAAGAGCTTTTAGTTTTCCTAGAATCATTAAAAAAAACATAACAGACAGACATTCAAAAATTTATTGGGCCTCAGGGGCTAGATACACAACATTGAAAAAAGTGGTCAGCATCTTAGCACACACAGAATCTATCATGCAGCAGTTGCATTTGAAGAAATCTGTAGTCAAGAAGGGATCCAAAGGTACTAATAACATTTCTTCCTAATGTTTCAGAAGAGTTGTCATTTGGATTCCCTCTCTGTACCCCCTTACTCCTACCACATTTTCTTCTCTAAGACTAAGCTTTGTTGCCCGAAACACACAGAACTTACCAGATGGTGCTATTCTACTCGTTTTGGTTCACATAATATAACATTCTTACTGCTTATACTATGTATGTATTTAATTTTGTTGGGAGCCAGAAGGCTTTTCAAGAGATCATTTTGTATTAGTGTAGGAATAGTATATTAGACAAATGTTTAATTTAGCTGGCCAAATCATAATTGGACAAGATGTTTGTAATTTTAAACATTGCAAATTGACCAGCTAGTTACTGAGACATAAAATTAATTGATGATGTTGAAAATAGCGTTCTTAAATTTGTATCTTTGATGGCTTTAGCCTGTAAGAGCATTTTAGCATATTGAAATGCATGCTGCTTAGGATTTGTCCAATTCAAATTTCAAAACTTGCTGGGTCATGTTCTTGTTTATTATGAATTCCTTTTTGACTGGGAATTAGTTACGCTTATGAACTAAGAGACTTAGTGATGTGGTAGGATAGGGAAACAGTAAGCAGTTGCAACAAGTAAGAAAGAAAAGTCAGTGTTTGAATTTAGAGAAAAAGGTTTAAAAAAATCATGTAGATTTCATCAAAGCAGTAAGCAGAAAGAGTATACTTGATTGAATGATAAAAACCCTTCAACCAGTTTTAGTGTCGTTTAATTGACAATTGCTTTGTAAACTATACGGTTTAATACATCTGGCTTTAAAAAAAGTCCAAAGGAAAAGCACCTATCCTGTCAGAGTCTCTAAAATGATACAGTAAAAATTTGTGTAAAAACTGAATTTTTGGAATAGAATTTTTTTTTGCATTTTTTTATTGTAAAAACACTTAACATGAAATTTACCATCTTTAAGTGTACAGGTCATTAGTGCTAAGTATATTAACGTTATTAAATGGCTATCCAGAACTTTCTTGCCTTGCAGAACTGAAACTCTATTATACACATTGAACAACTCCCTTTCTCCCCCCAGTGGAACAGTTTTGATTAAATATAAATCAAGAAACAACCTGAATTTTCTTAATAGTTTGTGTCTGCAAGATTCAAAGTCGTGGCCAACATTAAGTTCCTAAGATTTGGGGGATGACAGAATTTCTTCCCTTCATCCCAGCTGTTATAAATCATAATTGGGTTGGGATTAATTGTCTGTTAATTGGAAGGGTTTGTTACTTCATTTGGAGCCCGGGGTGGGGGGGCACATTTTCAACATTAGAATTAGGTTAGCTTTGAATTTGTAGTGAATGGGGAAGGTGATAGATTTTCACAGACTATGTGTGCCTTGTCAAAAATGTTAGTTGTCTTTAAGTCTCCTTGTAACGGTCTCAAAATATTTTTTTTCTCTCAAAAACGCAACCTAATTTTATTTGCTTGAATATTATGATAGGAATGCTTACTGATATTACTTGATAATCATATGATAGCCTTGGAACTTATATATATGTAAGTTCCAAACTTATATATATATATAAGTTTTATATATATATATGACTATAGCAGTATTAATAATCACAGTTGTACTTCTTTAAAACATTAAATTTGAGGAAAAACTATTTAATGCTGTCTCATGTGTACATTGCTTTGCTGTAGCGAGGGGGAAAATCCTTTAGATTGAGACTCAGTTTACTCATAAATGGTTATTAGAGGATGAAACTAGAGTATGAAAATATGAACGAGTTAGTGGAGCTGATGAATTAAAATTGTAGGTTGCTACATTGGCATTTTCTACCTCCTTTTCTGTCAGAGTATTAACTTTTCCAGCTTTTATTCTTTTTTGTGACTAAGGAAGAGATGGGAACCCGAGGTTCAAATTGAAATTTTTACGTTGTTGAGGATTTAAGCAGTAGGTACAGGAAGGGTGACTTGCCACATCAATTTGGTGCGTAAATCCAGAACGACACGTGGTGACTGACATGTACAAAATGTGTAAGAAAGATAATATTGCTGAGTGTTTTACTTTTCCTGTACAGTCTACATGACTTGTTTCATAAATGTGACTTCTTTCCTCCCAAATGCAAAATGGTCTTGTAATTTTCTATAAAATAAACAAATATGCCGTTTTGTCTAAAATCTATAATTTCAGGAAGCTATTGAAAGTTCTGACTCAGGGCTTTGTAACAGTTTAAGCAATTGTTAATTATATTTTGGAAAGTCCATCTACATAATTTTTCAGTGCCTTGGAAGAATTATTAACTTGGCAACACTACTAAGACTTTATAGAAGGCTGTCTTTAGTGTGAGTGTATCATCACACACACGTTTATAAGGCGTATTGCTCAGCTTGTGTAATAGCAATACTGCATGTGTGCTGGGTTTGGGTAATTCTTTAAAGGAAGTTTTCTAGATTTGCACTTGATATTTGTTTTTAAAAAACTGATTATTTACGGCCATGACACTGTTACCAGAAAAGTAATTCTATAAGTCATTATACAAAGTCATGTATAAGTAGCATCTGGGAAGAAGAGCTAGGGTTCATACAGTTTGCTATTTTAATATGAAAGGAGGATCTGTTTGGTAAACACAGATTGTCTTCCCCTCATGAAAAAAAGACTTTTTGTTCAAGTGATTCGGTTTAAAAACATTTCTTAAAGGAAATCATGGATTGCATGTTCTTAATGCTAGCCTTACTTAGCCTGAATCCACAAAATTGTTTTTCTGTTAATTTCAGTAGTCTTGTCATTCTAAATACAATATATTCAGTGTGATAGAAAGCAGTTTAATTGACGCATAGCACTGTTTTGCTTTGTATTTTTTCCAGTGTTTTTTTAGCTCCCACTTGATTAAAAGTCTTGCTCGTGAATATAGTTTCTGTATGGCAAATGATTCTTACTTATTAGCTTTTGTTAAAAAAACACTTAGCAAGAGCTAAGCTTTTAAAAATAAATGCAAACATTTACCATTAATTAAACTTACAATGTAATATTATATAATGCTTTTCTCTGATCTTTTGAAAGTATTCTTTATATGAATTTTGATTTTTAAGGTATTTGAAAACATATCTCAATATATCAAATCTATTATTGGAAAGGAAATTATCATGTCTTTGAGAAACAAGTTACATACATCTCCAGCTCAGTATAGGACATGGGTGCCCACATCTAGAAGGCTGTCATTACAATTGTTTACATTTAAGGTACCTCTATCTAAAGGGCCAAAGAAGCTTTTCATATTTTAACACCTCACACTCTTTCAGGATATTGTGAAAGTAGTTTGAATAGGATAAATTTGATAGAAAATCAGTCAACCAGTCAGGAAGACACAACTTTTTCTATAAAACGTTTATTCCTCTTCATAATTCAGATGTAGATTTCATTTTCAAAAGATAGACATTTTAAAGCAATGATTTATTTGGCTTTTTTAGTGTTTTGTGACTAAATCAGTAATTGAATGGTTTGGAGTTATTTTATTTCTCAAGTTAATAGAAGCAGTTATTTGTCATTATTGAGAGGTTGTCTGGTTCTAGTTCAAAAGATTCAGTATGTGTATCTGGAATGTTTAAGAGGAAAACCATCTGAAACAAAATCTTTTAATTGTTTATTTGAAAAAAACATGTGTATTCCAACTTTAAAATTGTGAATTTATTTTTGGATAACCTCTAACTAACTGTATTTCTGTTGCTGTAAAATTAGATATTTCATGGCAATATTTTTTATTAAATTGAAATTGTATAGGTTTTTAAAATAAAGACATTATAGAAAATCTGATTTATATTTTTTATCATTGACAGTTATTCATCCTTCACAGAAGTTCAAATTATTTGTTAGTCTTAGAGTGTAGCATTTCCCAAACTTACTGACAGGGAAAACTTTTAAATGGTGCATTACAGAGTAGTGATAGTTTATAGGATAGAATGAAGGCATGAATTAAAGTAGAACACCAAAAATTATTTCAGGTAATTGCTGAAGAATGATCATTTGGCAAACAGGTTTTTTTTTCCTTTAAAAACAAAACCAGTTGATAAACTCATTTTGTTAAACAAACAGAAAAAAACCTTAAAAGCATAATATGAAAGGGTAAGACAAGATCTGGAACAGAGCCCATTGATCACTGAGTTGATGACATATCAGTGAGACTGTTAGGTAATGCTGCCTTTGCACTCATGCTCTAATCAAATGTAATGTGTTCATGCTTTAGGTTCCTCTTCACATCAGGTCCTTGCATTCTCAAATACGGCAGCCTTCTGAAATACGGCAGCCTTCTGAAAGGCTGATTTTCAAGTCAAATATTCTTTACTTTTCATATAATTAAGAGTATGACCCTCCCTTCCTGTCTCTCTTATTCCTTTCTATAGAGCACCAATTTTTTTTTAACAAATATCTTTTATGATTTTTTAAATTCTTTTTTTTTAAAGAGTTTTATTTATTTGAGAGAGTGAGAATGAGAGAGAGAGAGAGAGAGCACATGAGAGGGGGGAGGGTCAGAGGGAGAAGCAGACTCCCCGCTGAGCAGGGAGCCCAATGTGGGACTTGATCCCAGGACTCCAGGATCATGACCCGAGCTGAAGGCAGTCGCTTAACCAACTGAGCCACCCAGGCACCAATTAATATCTTGAGTGGAACATTGACATACAGATTGGAGAAGGCTTTTAAAGGTGATACCCTTATTTAATAGGGTAATAGGGAAGCAACCAAATCAAAGAGCCCTAACCACGGCCAAACCATTCTGAAGAAAGACTGAGGTTCAAAATACTAAGAGCGTATGTATGTATAGCACAAGAGTATTGTAGTGGTTTCCTCTTGCCGCTATAAAAATTACCATGAATATAATGGCTTAAAACAATGGAAACTTATGATCTTATAGTTCTGAAGGCCAGAAATCTGGCAGAAAGCTAGTCAGAAAAATCTCAAAGTTCTTGGAGATTAAACAACACACTTCCAAATAACATGGGTCAAAGTCTCGAGAAATAAAAATGTTTTGAAAATACAACTGGACAAAATTTGTGGGATGCAGTGAAAGCTCTTAGAAGGCAATTTATAACATTGAGTAGATACATTAGGAAAAGAGATATAAAATGGTTAATTTAAGCTTCCACCTTAGGAAACTAGAAAAAGAAGAGTAAATTAAATCCAAAGTAACCAGAAGAAAAGAAATAAAACAGCAAAAATCAGTGAAATTGAGAACAGGAAATCAACACAGAAAAATCAAGGAAACAAAAAACTGATTCTTTGAAAAGATCAATAAAATTGATAACCTCTAACCAGGTTATCTAAAAAAAAAAAGAGGACTCAAATTACTAAAATTAGGAACGAGAGATGTGCCATCACTACAGATCCCATGGACATTAAAAGAACAGTAAACAACTGTATGCCCACAAACTTGATAACTTAGATGAAACTGACCAATTCCTTAAAAGATGAAATATACCAACACACACACACGGAGAAATAATCTGAATACACCTGTATCTATATTAAAGAAATGGAATCATTAATTTAATAGCCTTTCAAAACCAAAAGCAGCAGACCCAGATGGATTCACTGGTGAATTTTACCAAACATTTAAGAGAGAAATTACACCAACTCTCTATATTCTCTTCCAGGAAATAAAAGCCAACATTACCTTAATTAATTACCAAACCAGACAAAGACATTACAAGAAAGAAAAACTATAAGCCAATATCTCTCATGAACACAGATTTAAAAATTTGCAGCAAAATGTTAGCAAATTGAATCCAATAACATATAAAAATAATTATACGCACTACCAAGTGGGATTTATTCCAGGTGTACTAGTTTGGTTCAACATTCAAAAATTAATGTAATCCATAACATCATTATGCTAAAGGAAAAAAATCATGACCATATCAGTAGAATGAGAAGAGGCATTGGACAAAACCCCATTTATGAGATAAAGGAAAACTTATTCATGATGAAACCACTCCTAGTCAGCATTGGACTAAAGTCCTGGCTAATGCAATAAGACAAGAAAAGAAAATAAAAGGTATACAGATTGGAAAGGAAAAAACAAAACTATTTGCAGATGATATGATTGTTTATGTAGAAATTTCCAAAGAATTGACAGGAAAACTTGTGGAACTAGTAAGTGAGTGTCGATATCTGTAAAATAACTTGCTGGAATTTTGATTGAGACTTCATTGAATCTATAGATCAGTTGGGAAGAACTGACATCTTTTTTTTTTTTATTCTTATGTTAATCCCCATACATTACATCATTAGTTTTAGATGTAGTGTTCCATGATTCATTGTTTGTGCATAACACCCAGTGCTCCATGCAGAATGTGCCCTCCTCAATACCCACCACCAGGCCAACCCATCCTCCCACCTCTCTCCCCTCTAGAACCCCCAGCCTGTTTTTCAGAGTCCATCGTCTCTCATGGTTTGTCCACCCCTCCGATTTCCCCCGCTTCATTCTTCCCCTCCCGCTACCTTCTTCGGGAAGAACTGACATCTTAACAATATTGAGTCTTTATGAACATAGAATATCTCTCCATTTATTTAGATTTTTTATTTCTCACATGAGAGTTTTGTAGTTTTCCTCATATAGTTCTTGTACGTATTTTTTTTATATTTATACCCAAAGATTTCAGAGGTTTTGGTGCTAATGTAAATGATACTGTTTTTAATTTCAAGTTCCAATTTGTCATAGTTGGTATATAAGAAAGCAATTAATGTTTGTATATTAACTTTATATCTTGCAACCTTGCTATAAACTGATCCTGAAACTTACATGGAAAGGCAAAAGACCCAGAATAGCCAACACTATACTGAGGAAGAATGAAGTCATAGGACAAACACTCTTTACTCAAAGATTATAAAAGCTAAAGTAATCAAGGCAGTGTGATATTGGCAAAAGCATTGTTTCTTGGCCTTTTCAATGGGAAGGGCTAGGAACTTTTTTTTTGTTTTTTTTTTTAAGATTCTATTTATTCAGAGAGAGTGAGTAGGGGGTGGTGCAGAGGGAGAGAGAGAATCTCAAGCAGACTCCATCCTGAGTGTGGAGCCCAACGTGGGGCTGTATCTCACCACCCTGAGATCATGACCTGAGCTGAAATCAAGTGTCGGACACTCAACCAACTGAGCCACACAGGCACTCCAGGAGCTTTTTTAAGACAAAATACGCCATGAGTTCAGGCTGAAACTTCCAATTCAAGTTCAGGTCTATTGGCTATTTAGCCTCATTGATCTTATATCTACATCTCTTTTTAACCATTAAAAAAATGTGTTTTCTTTATTGTACAAAAACAATGTTATCACCAACAATATGGCTTCTGAAAACACTTAAAATTTTTTTTTGCAGTTATTATCATTAGGGTATATCTCACTGGGGATATTGAATCAAATTACTATGTCTTTAAGTCTCCTGGAGTAGCTCTTTATGTGTAGTTATGCTGCCAACTGGGTATACAGGTTTACTTTTACTTTGGGATATTAGAATTGCTTCATTCATTTATTGAATTTTATTTTAAATTATGTAATATATGTACATTGTTCCAAAGTGAGTTCTACAAAACAATATATATTCAAAGAAGTCTGCCTTCCATCCCTGTCGCTTCAATCCTTCATTCCCCATATAAATAATATGGCTTATTCTCCATTGTTTTTATCTTAATAGTAGGAAATACACACATGAATACCTTGATATGCCATTTTTTTTCAAAACACAAATATGCCTACTATGTATGAAGTCTCCACCTAACCTCTCACATTTTAGTAATAATGACTTTTAATACTTTATAGAACTTTTTTTTTGCTATTGCTCTGCAGAGAGACACAAAGAAAGGAAAAGGAGGGGAGGTTATCATTTCCAGAACTTAGGCACCTTGGGACAGTGGCCAAGGTGACTTTATTAGTCATGATTCTGGGCTGCCCTGCTTGATGAGTTGGAAGGTCAAGGTTGCCTGGAAAGGTGTGAGAATCATTCCAGGAGTCTGGCCAAGTTATTCTGAGCCAGGCTGGTTGGTTCCCTCTAACCCAGTCTCTCCAGCTTAATTGTGCCTGTTATCCTTCAGCCCCCATCTTCCCTCCTCTGGGAAGAAAGGGAAAGAAGAGTGAAGAGGTATTGCCCAACCCCTGGTACCTTCTGTGGGGCAAAAGCAAGTCAGCTTATGTGCTCATTCAAAGCCCCTTCTCTCCATCTTACTACTTCCATGATTGGAAGAACCCGTCCTCCGAAGAATGCTGAGGGCGTCTTACTCTAAAACATTAGGAACCTCAAAGTGCAGGTTGGGAAAATAAGGATTGTTTCCTTCCAGTTACAGCAAAGAGCATTTACTTCTGAGTGGGATCTTAGGCATTTCCTATGGGAAGATAAATGAAGACACACACCAGAGCCCAGGACTGTCCTGCTGGCTCCACTGGGGAGGGAAGGTGGTGTTCTCTGTGCCCCTCCAACCCCCTCCCTCCTGTGGAATTTTGCTTGCACAAGGGAAACAAAGCATCCTGGACAGAAAGTGTTTTTTATCTGTGTGTATTGTCAGAGACCGTGTCAAACCTGACTTCAACTAAGAGAATTGTTCATTGAAGAGAAAATTCTGTTTTCTCTTTTTAAAAATACGTTCTATGCAGGAGCGTAAAGGAACTGTCTACACGCATCAGGATAATGAGTAAACATGACATCGTTATGTTTAATGATAGCAGCATGAACATTTATCGTTTACTGTGTGCCCTGCACAGCTGATTCAATCACTAGCACTAATGAGTTTCATTTTGCCTATGAGGATGGGGAGCTCAGAGAAATTTAAAAAATTGCTCACCGTCTTT